ATTCTTTTGTGGTTTTGGAGGGTTTTTTTTTTTTTTTTTTTGAGATAACGCGTCCCGATTATGTTAGCTCAGGCTGGCTTGGAACTTGCTTTGTAGCCTAACTGGCCTCAAACTCACAACACTTCTGCCTTTAACTACCAAGTGCTAGGATTATAGGCATATGCCACCATGCCCGGCTACATCCTGCTAATTCTGTCAGAGATCTATCTTTTTCTCTTATTCCCAAATCCTCCTATCTTGCCTCTACAACTGTAGCAGCTTCCTGCTCCTAACCCTCCCTTTGTGGGTCTGTCCTCCCAACTGCTTACCACTCAAAGTGTACTCTAACAAGGCAATAAAATCATAAACCCTGACCCAAACTCCCACTTGTGTCCCATTACATATAAAATCAAGTCCCAATCTCTTGCCTTGGAATACAAGGTTTTTCCATGGTTTCTTGTTTAATTGTGTCCCCTCATCTATCCACATCCACTGTTGATCCAAGTAAGCACTTTGTAGTTTCTCTAATGCCATGGTGATTTTCTTGAAAATGCCTTTTGTTCCTGACTTTCTGGTGCATTCTGCATAGTCCCACATCAAGATGTGATCCATTCATTGAGAAGTTTCTGCACAGTCGTCTGCCCCTTCCGAGAATTGAAATATCTATCTTTAGTTCCCCTCCCCCGTCCCAAAACAATTGTTTACGAAACTTCTGTAAAGGCCATGGAACCACCTGACATTTTAGTTGTGGCGTTTATGTGCTCTAGTTCCCCCAGAGGACCAGGAAACTCCTTGGGTGTAGAACCAATCCTTACCTAGCTCTGGGAAGGAAAGGGCTAGGTTTGGCTTCAGTAAAAGGGTTGACGCGCTTGTGTGAATGGGGGAGAGATTTTCACAGAAGTTACAGCGATAAGACCCAGAAAGCCACGTGGTAAATTGTGGTGAAATCTCTAGGTTTACTTCCTACCTTTGCCTGCCCAGAGAAGTTGTAGTGTAAAGGTATTACAGTGTATAAGCACCAACTAATATTTTATGTAGTGCTTTATAGCATGCAGAATGTCTAGCAGAGAAAGGTATGGCTTGAGGACAGGGAAGGGCTGTGGCTCATTAGAGGGTAGATAACACAGCGCCAGAAAGCAGCAGAGCAGGGCTAGGACCAGGCTCTTGATTCCAGGGCCTGTATTCGTTTAATTGTTACATGGATGGCTAGACATTTATCTACATGTGATTTAGAAAAAAAATGACCAAAGTTTCTTTTTCAGAAGAGCTCCTGACCCTCTGATCTCATTCTCTCGCCACAAAGAACGATTTTACTTTATCAACACACAACTATGCAAGGAACTTTTCATTGTTTCAGTGAAGCTCATTAATTGCAAAAGAAGCAGATTAGGTGCCCGTCTTTCTGGGAACTAGAATGGTCAGACAAGTGATTACTGAATCACAGATTTGGTTTTACTTGTGCAGGAAACTGCAGTGAATGTGTGGTTAGCTAAATTTTTAAGTAATGCATATGACGCACTTGTTCAATAGACCTTGTTGAGCCACCTGTCTTAAACCAGTACTGTAAAGCTGTTCAACTTCCCTTTTCTTATAGGGGTCACAGCACGTGGGGGAGTCAGGTGTTATCAATAGATGCCCACAGAGAAACAACATATTCATAGGTGCATATTTTTGAAAGGCCATGGGCAGAAAGCTGGAAAAAGGCTTTGGGCAAGTCCAGATGCCAAAGGTTTTAATCCATAGGATCCAGGGTTTCTTTCCTGTGGCTGGGCCCATTCTTTCCTCTCTAAAATAACCAGTTGGTTGGATGGTTGGCCCTCTTAGGTCCCTTCCAGTTTTACCATGTCTGTGAACTAAAGAAAGTACCTTTGTTAAAACAATTGAGTCAGACAAAGGAGCAAAAATATACGATGGAGAAATAGCAGCCTCTTCAACAAAAACTGCTGGGAAAACTGGTTAGCAGTCTGCAAAAAACTGAAACTAGATCCATGTATATCACCCTATACCAAGATTAACTCAAAATGGATCAAGGATCTTAATATCAGACCCCAAACTCTTAAGTTGATACAAGAAAGAGTAGGAAATACTCTGGAGTTAGTAGGTATAGGTAAGAACTTTCTCAATGAAACCCCAGCAGCACAGCAACTAAGAGATAGCATAGATAAATGGGACCTCATAAAACTAAAAAGCTTCTGTTCATCAAAAGAAATGGTCTCTAAACTGAAGAGAACACCCACAGAGTGGGAGAAAATATTTGCCAACTATACATCAGACAAAGGACTGATAACCAGAATATACAGGGAACTTAAAAAACTAAATTCTCCCAAAACTAATGAACCAATAAAGAAATGGCAGTGAACTAAACAGAACTTTCTCAAAAGAAGAAATTCAAATGGCCAGAAAACACATGAAAAATGCTCACCATCTCTAGCAATAAAGGAAATGCAAATTAAAACCACACTAAGATTCCACCTCACCCCTGTTAGAATAGCCATCATCAGCAACACCACCAACAACAGGTGTTGGCGAGGATGCGGGGAAAAAGGAACCCTCTTACACTGTTGGTGGGAATGTAGACTAGTACAACCACTCTGGAAAAAAATTTGGAGGCTACTTAAAAAGCTGGACATCGATCTACCATTTGATCCAGCAATACCACTCTTGGGGATATACCCAAAAGACTGTTACTCCAGAGGCACCTGCACATCCATGTTTATTGCGGCACTATTCACAATAGCCAAGTTATGGAAACAGCCAAGATGCCCCAGCACTGACGAATGGATTAAGAAAATGTGGTATCTATACACAATGGAATTTTATGCAGCCATGAAGAAGAACGAAATGTTATCATTCGCTGGTAAATGGATGGAATTGGAGAACATCATTCTGAGTGAGGTTAGCCTGGCCAAAAGACCAAAAATCGTATGTTCTCCCTCATATGTGGACATTAGATCAAGGGCAAACACAACAAGGGGATTGGACTATGAGCACATGATAAAAGCGAGAGCACACAAGGGAGGGGTGAGGATAGGTAAGACACCTAAAAAACTAGCTAGCATTTGTTGCCCTTAATGCAGAGAAACTAAAGCAGATACCTTAAAGCAACTGAGGCCAATAGGAAAGGGGACCAGGAACTAGAGAAAAGGTTAGATCAAAAAGAATTAACCTAGAAGGTAACACCCACGCACAGGAAATCAATGTGAGTCAATGCCCTGTATAGCTATCCTTATCTCAACCAGCAAAACCCCTTGTTCCTTCCTATTATTGCTTATACTCTCTCTACAACAAAATTAGAGATAAGGGCAAAATAGTTTCTGCTGGGTATTGAGGGGGGAGGGAGGGGTGGAGTGGGTGGTAAGGGAGGGGGTGGGGGCAGGGGGAGAAATGAACCCAAGCCTTGTATGCACATATGAATAATAAAAGAAAAATGAAAAAAAAAAAAAACAATGAGTCAGAGCCAGGCACTGGTGGCTCACGCCTGTAATCCTAGCTACTCAGGAGGCAGCACTCAGGAGGATCATGGTTCAAAGCCAGCCCTGGCAAATAGTTTGTGAGACTATCTTTTTTTTTTTTTTTTTTTTGCTTCATGAATTTGCCTGTCATCCTTGTGCAGGGGCCATGCTAATCTTCTCTGTATCGTTCAAATTTTAGTATATGTGCTGCCGAAGGGAGCACTTGTGAGACTATCTCAAAAGTACCCAACACAAAATAGGACTGGTAGAATGGCTCAAATGGTAGAGCACCTGCATTAGCAAGCATGATGTCCAGAGTTCAAACCCCAGTACTACACACGCACACACACGCACACATAGAGTCAGAATTCAGTAAAAAGTACCACTCTTTTGTGTGAACCAATTATTGAATAATGACACTAAATGTTTCATTTTTTATTTCTGTAAGCAAAGAGATCAGGCTCAGAATGTCCGTATATTGACTGCCTTACTTTGCTGTGAAAAACACTCTTAAACATCCCAGTAATGCTTTGCATTTTAGTGGACCCTCTTAACCATTTTTAAGGTTATTCTGATACTTGAAGGATTGGATTCTCTTTGTTCTGTGATCATAGAAATCTCCAGATGTTTAGTCCCCTTTGACATGTAAAATGGGAGTAATGATCCAAAACTTCTGATAAACTCACAGAGGCACTGATTCAGCGAGGAAGCAAGCATCTGTTGGGCATCTGCTGTACTCACTGCACTGCTAGGATCCAGTACAGATGTGGAGAAATAGTCGTCCCTGTCCTACAGGGACTTATAGCTTGAGGTGAAAAACAAAAATTATCCCTGTAAAGAAAGCTTATAGTAAGTGGCTTCCATTGAAGTTTATATAGGAGTAGGGTAGCTAGTTCTGCCTGCTGGCGTTAGAAGGGGGCAGCATAGTATAAAAGAAAAGGACCCTTAGGTTTGAGTCAAAAGATCTGGGTTTTTAGACTCAGTTCTCTATGTACATATTAGCTTTTTCTGTATTAGCTATGTGCTTAACTTCTTTGAGCCTGCTTCATCTATACATTTTATTTTTTGAGATAGGCTCTTGCTGTGTTGCCCAGGCTGGTAAACTGGGCACATGATCCTCCCACATCAGTCACTAAAATAGCTGGGACTACAGGTACATGCCACCATGTTTGCCTCATCTGTAATAAAGGAACTAATGGTCAGTGTGAATGTGGGGGGGGGGATGGGGGGGCAGAGGGGAAGAAGGGCAGGGAGGGAGAGAGGGAGAGAGTGCATGAGAGTGTGAAAGAGTTCTGTATGTCTGAGCTCTAGCGTAAAAAAAAATTATGTAAATTTCAGATTAAATTCAGTCAGAAATCAGCAACTTTTCAAAGGTAGTGTACCACCCTGGCAGCCGATACTACTGTGGCAGGTCAAGTACCTGTAACTCATCTTCTTATTTCGTGAACCAGCAAATTGTGGTGCTAGAGAAGGGGTAAGACATCCATGGCCCCTTGGAAAACATGTGTCCTTCCTTCTACTCACCTGATGTGGATTGCCATATTCTTGCGCCACCTTGTGCCGCTTCGGGATGGAAAACTGCAGTAGCAAGTGTCTTAACTCTGACCTTTTCCCCCTTCCTCCTTTGTACCAGATCTTATCATGTGGGCAACCTGCTGCAACTGGTTCTGCTTGGATGGACAGCCTGAGGAAGTCCCCCCACCTCAGGGCGCCAGGACCCAAGCCTATTCCAACCCTGGGTACAGCTCCTTCCCTTCCCCAACAGGCTCTGAGCCAAGCTGCAAGGCCTGTGGGGCCCATTTTGCAAGCGCAGCCCGGAAGGTGAGTGCTGACACAGCCTGCTCTGCACCGCTTCAGGACCTCAGGCAAGCTTCTAGTCCCTACTGTGAATTCTGCCACCTGGCCTCTGCCTGTGCGATGCTGGGGACCCATCAAAGAATGTTCATGAACAAGTAAAGGCAAAGCCTCTCAGCATAGACCTGGAGCCTGGAGCACTGAATTCAGAACAGCTTGGTTATTTTTACTAACTGTTATGACTTCACCCTCTGCCAAATTCAGTTCCCCTTGTCTGGGGAACCACTAGGCTTAGCCTGGTGTTGTGAGAATAAAATGCAGGGCAAGCTATGAAGGGTGGCCCAAGCATGATGCCTGAATGTAACAAGGTACTCTCGTTTGCTCTAGTAGCAGCTGTCATATTAGGCCCAACTACAGGCCATGCCTTATTGAAAGCAATGTTCAAGGCATGGCTTAGGTACATGAAGATCCAGGGCAGACAAACTTAGAGCCTGTGTGCTGTAGTGATTCCATTGGAAAGCTTGGAGACAGGAAGGAGAATCATTGCGCTGGCAGTGGTGGGGTATGGATATTCCCTTGCCAGTGCCATAGGGCAATGGCAAGGCTCCTCTGCAGAAAGAAGGTTAATTTGTGCCCAGAGTATCTGCTGATTAGGGCGCGACCTTGAAATGGTGGACAGGTGGTAAGTCAGGAGGAATTAATTCTTTTTAAACCTCTTGCTGTATATGAAGTACTGAAAGTTTTTTTTTTTTTTTTCTGTGTTTATTTATTATTAGTTTTTGAGGGACCGCGCGTCTTGCTACAATCCTACCTCAGTTTGCCAAATGCTAGGATTTACAGTTGTGTGCCACCCAGTATCCAGGTTTTCAACTTTTTGTTTTTTGGTTAAGAACTGTTGTGAGATTTAGATTTTAGCTAGGTGGGGTGGCTCATGCTGCTAATACAACAGCACTTGGGAGGGTTGAGACAGGAATTGTGAATTGTAGCCAGCCTGGCGGTACATAGTGAGACCCTGTCTTAAAAAACAAACAAACAAACTGGTTTTTAATTTTATTTGGACTTTAGATTTTTTGTTTCATTTTATTCTCACAATAATTACATAGGTTTTAGAAGCTACCAAATCCCATTTTTATATATGAAAAACTTAACACTTACAGTTTAAAAGTGTACATGTCAGCTCCGAAACAAAATAGCATTAAGAAACCATCAAAAATATTTAATTCTTTTTCCTCTATGAAGCAGTGCCTCAAGATCACATAGCTATGAAGTGGCAGAGTCATGATTCAAACCCAGGACCTAGACTCCAAAGCTAACCCCTCCCAAGAGGCCTTTAGCATGTCCAAGTTGAAGTTGACAGGTGATAATCCCGGGTGCCTGTGAGCTTGGCAATTATTAAAGTTAGGAGCTTTCCCCCTACTGATTGGAAATAAGTTACTGAATAGTCACTGCATCAAGCATCACCTGGACTTGAGATGAAGGAGAACATCTGTGCTTGTCAGGGAGGTTGGGGCATCACACTCCACACAAGGCAACCAGAGAAAAGCCACCACACAAGAAGAGCTTGGTGGGGGCAGACAAATCCTAATTTAAAGGTGGTTATTGGTGCTGTACTTTTTTGCTACAAAAGTATGAATTAATTTTGTGCAATTCATAATGAATTTTGTGACTATTAAGGATATTTTCTTCTATGAGTGTTTTTCATTGTAATTTCATGCTTAAGTGGATCAACATCCTTATGTTCAGGGTTTGGCATTTAACAGCCAGAGGCTTTTAAAATGTCTTTGCTAGAAGTGGTTGTGAAATGAAATGATTATATGGATCCTACTGTCTTTCTCTTTTTTTTTCCATGGTGACTAGTATTTTCTACATGCTCCATGGGTGCAAAGCATAGATGACATCAAAGACTTTTAGAGGAAAAATAAGTAAGATATATCCCCTGCATTCTACAAGTTTCCAATCTTGGAGAGAAGTGGCAGGCCGAAATTTTGCCACAAGCCACTTACCCCATCTGTACTGGTAATTCCTGCCAGTAGTGTAGCAGTGACCCTGACAGTTTTGAAGGGAGTTTGGCACCCAGCCTCCTCAATTGGACCAGTTTGAGGAGGATGGGAAGGTTATGTTTGGAAACATGGACATGGTATTCAGATTTCAAAGTAGAGAGGAGTGCTTTTTTGGGGTTGGGAAAAGTGAAGAGATGTAGCAGAGCTTCATATGAGCGTTCACCTTATATTAAGGTTTATAGAAATGATCACATGTAATACTTCTGATAGTCCTTAGACTGGCAGGTGAGAAGGTGGGCCTGAGCAGTGCCAGGGAAAGTAGGTGAGGAGGCAATGGGGAAGGAAGGGCAGATTGGTGAAGGGGAGCAAGTAAAGCACCCTGTGTGCGTCCCTGAGGCACAGGCCCCACTGGCTGCCAGCTCTTGAAGCGGCTGTTCATTGTACTCTGGGCATCTTTACAGGCACATTGCCTCCCCCAGTTCATCTTTCTTACTAACTTTTTACTCAGCTGGTTTGATTCATTTGCTAGAATTTATACATATGTGTTTCTTTTGCTAGTTCTGTCTACATTTGTTAATGGCTTTTTCCTCTCCTTTGTTTTTTTCCTGCCAGGATACACAAGGATTTAGCCTTGAGCTCTATGCCACTCCTTTAGGGTGTGTTTCAGATGCTTTAGAGTCCCTAGAGGGCAGGGGAGCACAAAAGCTGGTTTGTAGTCTTGCATTTTGATTTTACATCCAATAAGCCACACACATTTGAAGAATAGAGAGTTGTTTGGATCTAGTTGATTGAGCAATGCACACTTTGTAATTGTGTCAAACTGTCTTGACTTAGGTAATGTTCCATGTTGGGACCACAGCTTTACAACACGGAGGCCTCTTCATTTCTCTGTTAGCCATCCTAAACACAATCTCCCTGTACGAAAGTTCTGGATATGAATGAACCCCATGTACCCCCAAACACCCATTTTCTACATGTATGGCTGCTGGTTCCAGAGCCTTCTGGTGTTGACACAGCCAGGAGTCCTTTTCAGTCAGTCTCTGCACAGTTTATAGTCTGTTTACAACAGTGGAGAAAAGGAGATTTGTGTGTCCCTTTGTAACACCCTTTTAAATCTTAATAGCCAAAACCGATGGTGACCTAATGTATGTCCTTTCCCCGTACTGTGTGGTTGACATAACGACAGACCCTAACTCTAGCTATCTTAACTGTGCAGCCCCACACAGGGTTCCTGTGGTGGTGTCTATGAGAACCTAAGTCTCTTAGGCATTCTTTTGTAGCTTGAACAGCTTTCCATATTTAGAAAGGCTGGAGCAGAAGCATGTAGGTTAATACTTAAGTCACCACAGCATGAAAAGCTTCTAACTTCTTTAGAGGATCAGTGAGGGTGCCCTTGAGGACGATCCCAGGTGCTCGGGAATTACCTCTCCTTTGGGAGGGTGACCTGCCACTGGCTTGAACCAAGCTCAGCCAGATGTCACTGTGCATATGCAGCCTCTGGGCTGAGCAAGCTTTGGTGTGCTGTCTGTGATTGTAGGAGTGGCTGCTGCCAGGCAGTGCTAGCATACTGGTCAGGCATGCTTGCTGCTTAGCTGAGACGCTGCATGCTTTCCCAAAGGAGGGCACGCTAATGTCCAGGGCCTTCCTGTAGTATAGAAATGTTTATCTTGGAAATGACCTTAGGTACCACCCACTTCCCAGCACTCTGGCCTTGCTAGAGTAGGGGAGCCTGGCACCAGCCTTTATGGGTGGGGCACTGGTTTAGGAGTTTGGAGGTGGAAAGCCAGGCTGCTGATTTCAGCCTTGCTGGCTGCCTGCAGGGGACTGAGTGAAACAGCATGGCCAAGTGGGAAGAGCATGACTCTGGCATTGACTTAGACCTCGAGTGTGAATCCCAGCTCTGCCTTTACTGCCTGACCTTGAATACAATACTTGATTTCTCTTATCCTCAGTTGATCTGTCTGAGAATCAGGGAAGAGCACTAATACGTACTTTGCAGAGTGCTCTTGCAGAGTGCCAGGTGTAGCTCTAGCACATAGAAGCACCTCAGTAAATACTAGCAACTGCTAGCCGGGCATGGTGGTTCAGGCCTGTAATCCCAGCACGCAGAAGGCACAGGCAGAAGAATCAGGAGTTTGAGGCCAGTCTGGACTACATACCGAGTTCAAGACTAGCCTGAGCTACATAGCAAGATCCTCTCTTAAAAAGCCAAGGACTACGGGTATAGTTCAGAGGTGTAGAGTGCTTGCTTAAATTCACAAGACCTTGGGTTCAATCCCCAGTACCACACACAAACCATAACTTCCCCAAAACCAATGAAATGCATTTGCCTTCTTTCCTCAGCAATAAAGGAGAAAGAATGACAGCTTAGGATTTGGATCCTGACTCTTCTTTAGTCAGTCTTCCTAGCAATAATTTTTTTTATCTTTTATTATTCATATGTGCATACAAGGCTTGGGTCATTTCTCCCCCCTGCCCCCACCCCCTTTTCTAGCAATAATAAGTAAAACAGCTAACACTTACTGAGGATCCATTATGTGTCAGATATGCTTAAGTGCATTATTTCTTCATCTTCATAATAATTCCATGAGGTAAGTACTATTATCACCCCATTTTACAGACAGGGAAACTGAGCGCCAGAGAGCTTAATACACTCAACATGACTTGGCAAGAAATAGGGAAATAAAAAGCTCTACAGTTTATTAAGTCTTAATTACTAGTTCTTCAGGTAAGTTTTAAGTGAAATTATAAACGTCAAGTGTCCTGTATGTGGATACACAGGTACACGCAGGCAGTCTGCCACCTCTGAGTGGCTTTTAATCTGCAAAGTAGCTGGTACCCTTGGATACAGGAGAAGCTTAGGAAAGTACGAGTGACGAGGAGGTCCTCCCACCTGTGGCAGTCCCAAAGCTCCCTTCTCACTCTCTCCCGTTCTCTCAAGCTGACATGCTTTCCTCTGCCTCTTGCTCTAAGCAGCAGACCTGCTTGGACTGTAAGAAAAACTTCTGCATGACCTGTTCCAGCCAAGAGGGGAATGGGCCCCGCCTCTGCCTTCTCTGCCAACGGTTCCGAGCTACAGCCTTTCAGCGAGAGGAGCTCAGAAGATGAAGGTGAAGGACCTGAGGGACTATCTCAGCCTCCATGACATCTCTACTGAAATGTGCCGGGAGAAAGAAGAGCTGGTGTTCTTGGTGCTTGGCCAGCAGCCTGTAATCTCTGAGGAGGACAGGACTCATGCCCCAACCTTGTCCCCAGACTTCCCTGAGCAGCAGGCCTTCCTGACCCAGCCTCACACCAGCACAGTACCTCCTACCTCACCCAGCTTCCCTCCTTCACCTGCACAAGCCACCTCTGCCCCCCCAGCCCAGGCTCAGGAAAACCAGGTATGGGCCCATGTGCAGTCCCTGAGGGCCCATTTTCCTCTCCTGCTGCATGATGGGAATGGGGTGTGAGATGAAGTGTCTTTCTGTATACTGATGCATGAAGTGATGTTTCCTGGAGGTTAGTCTTGGCTTTCTTCAGAGATGATGTGCATGGTACCATGTTTTTCTGAGGTTTTACTGATTTTTAATATTTTCATATCTCAGTTAGAAATTATGGAAAATAATTCATTGTTCCAGAAATATTTTGAGGAAACTAACCATTAACCCTCTAAATTTAGGTCTATTTAAATTTGCCCTGCAACTTACTCCTCTTTGTCTTCCTTAGCTAGATTGAGTTCCTTGGTAACCATCACAAGGCACATGGAAAAAAGGCCTATAAAAGGGAAGGGAGAAGGGGAAACACTGTGACAGGACCCTGCTGCTCTCTCGGTCACTGTGTGAGAGCAGCAGTGGTTGGTGTGCTGTTGTACCGTTGTCCCAGTGGGGCCTGGAAATGGTAAGCTAAGAGCAGCACATTGACCAAATGAAGAACCAAGCATGGGGAGTAACACACAATCTCCACCCTCAGAGACCCCTGTCAGAGAGAAGGTAAACATGTAGACCCACGCTTGGATTTAAGTGAGGCCAATGGGCTTAATTAACCCTAGTGTCAAGGAGTGATAGTGTCACATAGGTCACCACAATGTCTTAGTGACCCTGTGGTTTATAGGTTTATATGGCTTGAGCAATGGTGAGGGGATGGGGCCTAGAAGATCTAAACCTTCTTTCTTTCTATCTATCTATCTATCTATCTATCTATCTATCTATCTATCTATCTATCATGCTGGGTATCTATCCCAGGACCTCAGCATGTTGGGCTACACCCCTAGCTCCACATCCCTTTTTGTCACTGTCTCTTGGTCACTTGTGGCAAACTTTGAGTCTACAACAGTGAAACGGGGTTAGCAATCCCAGACCTCTTTTGATCTTGCTTGGATGTAGGAAGTGTGAGTAGTGTGCTATCATGTCTGAAGAGCTTGGACTGCTCAGGACTGACACAGCGCTAGTGTTGTCTTTTCCCATATGTGACACTCCTCTTGTTTATGATCATCTCCTTTGCTAGGACTGGGCCCCTGATTCAGCTCTTGACAGGCACTGAGGCATAAAAGGCTAACACGATAGCGTAATTTAATTGCAGAAGAACCATTTAACTCCCTGGTTGCCTTGAGTATGTTTTTCTTCCCAGCTGGCCTTTAACTCCTTTCTAAGCTCTGGCTCTTAGTCTGCTGGACAGGCTTCCCCTCACTTTGTTGTGTCTCTTTTTGGTTTTTGGAGCAGTCCTCTCTGTACATGGAGATCCAGGAAAGAAACTTGAGGAATTACTTCCCTACAAATCTTCAGGTAGATTTTTCAAAGAAAGATTGTAACCTTCTTGTCATTAACAGACATTTCCAGATCACACCTACTGGTCACACTGCATACCAGATATTACTGAGTTATTTTCCTCTGAGGTTTTCAGAGGACCTCACTGTCAACCCATTACATTTTGCAAGCAGGAAAAACAGGCATGGGGAAGTTAAGTAACCTGTGCAAGGCTGTTAAGTCCACAAGTAAGCTGCGCTCAGGATGTAAATATTCTCCTAATGCTTGCCCCACCAGAGTTCTGTCCTTTACCAGTAATGCCTAGCAAGAGTTACTAGGAAAGGAAGGGTAATAAATAAAATAGTGGACGATATTAGTTGTGGATTTTGAGGGGCTAACTGGAAAGACAAGAATATGCTTTACAGCATGAAGTCCCAGTTTTTCTTTCTAGCGAACAAAGGACACAAAAGCTATCCACTCAGGAATAGCTTAACCTCTGAAAGATTCCGAGGTGGCACCAAGGTGACAGTATCCAAGAGGTGGGTGGGCACCACCACATCCTCACAAAGCTAAGAGAAAACTAGAAGTGTTGATGAAGATGCTGTTGTGGATGCATCACTTGGCATGTCATTGTCATTTCTGCTTTTTCATTTTTACTGTAGTTGTTTGCCTGTCTTGATGAGTGGCTGGGGTCAGCAGGTGACTTTGGCTGCAGGAGGTGGAGAGGAGCTCCTTTTGAGAAGTTAGAACCTGAGCAGAATGGAATTCAAGTCGAGCAGTCATGTTCTGTAGTCTTAGGCTGGTAGATTCTTCAGTACATTAAAACATTTCAGCAGGATTTTAGACAACTCTTAAGTCATAGCATGCCCAGCTGGTTGGAGCACATTTCTAAACTGTAAGAGTGGTGACCAGGCCAGAGAGAGGCACTAAGGTAGTAAGGGCCTGAAAGTGGTTCCCTCAGGGTCAGTTGAGGAAGTGAGGGAGGTTAAAGGTCAAGGAGCAAGACATGGTGTGAGCTGTTTGGAAAAACCAGTGGACACTGGTCTGGAGGCAGAACTGGTGCGGTGGGTAGAAGTTATAAAGAGGGCAGTTTGGAAACCGTGTTGAGGGAAAATGGTAGAGAGCAGTCTAGCAGTGGAATGGCCATTTTTACTCCGAAGGTTCAAGCTGAGAACAAACTGACGATGGGTGGCAGATAAAGTTAGTGCGCTGGTGGACAGAGGTGGTGCACTCATGTTCTGGAGGCAGCTTCATGTCCAGTGAAATCTGTTTGTACTGTGTCTGCCTGACAGAGTTGGTGTTAGAGAGCAAGCATTTGTGACCTTGTTGGGGGAGCTTTGATTCCTGGGGGAGATGGGCATACATTGTGGACATTGTGCGAGCTCTAAAAGGCCTGTGCTGTGCATATCACCGGGGCATCTCTGTGGATGTGATGGCAACTTTCTCTTCCCACAGGCCAATGGCCATGTGTCTCAGGACCACGAGCAGCCCGTCTACCTGGAGAGCACAGCCAGAGCACCTGCTGAGGATGAGACCCAGGTGGGGCCTCTGCTCAGGTCTGCGTCTTTGCCTTTGCTCTTTGACTGGTGATCTTGGGGTATTCCTAGGAGCCTCAGAAGACTCAGGCTGTGGTGACAGTCCTGAAATCCTCCTCCAGAGACTTTGTGCTAGTGTTCCAGATTAACCCTTGGCTCTGTCAGTGTGTGAGATCAGGCATGAGGTCACAGTGGAGCTCCCTAGGGAGCTTCCTGGCCCATTATTTTCCCAGTCTCTCGACTTTCTGAGAACTGCCAGAGTGCAGGCTCTGACGCGGCTGTGAAAACTTGTGCTTGTCCCCTGCATCTAACATACAGTAGCCTTTGTCAGGGGAAAGAGGTCTCAGCCAGGTAGGGACCATGGAGTGTAGTGGGTCTGTGTGTATAGAGTACCTGCCAGGGAGAGCTGCAGCTTCCATGGCAAGCAGAGAGAAGACTAGCACTATGGCTGGTGGTTCCAGTGCTGCCACATTTAATCTTCCCAGGAATCCTGTGTGGTGGGACTGCTGTCTCAGCTTTGTGGAGGGGCAGACAGGCTTAGAGACAGACTTGCAGGTACTTGGCATTTAGTCATCAGAGGGGTCAGGATTCAGAATTAGGGCCCTCTGATTCAACCAGTGCTCCTTGTGTAACATCATGTGGATGGGTTGGTTTGTGTGGTTATCTGCGCCCAAGTACAGACCACGGGTCAGGAAAAGACTATTTTGCAATGCCAAGCACCACTACAGGTATTCTGTCTCTACTGATTCTTCTTGAGGTCAGTCACCAAAGTGCAGGGTGATGGGTGCTCTGGGGTCCTTGGAGACTGCTTAGGGGATGTGACAGCTCAGCCCCCTGATCTCATCTTTGCTGTTGCAGTCCGTGGACTCAGAGGATGGCTTTGTCCCAGGCCGGAGGGCCTCTCTATCTGACCTTACCCACTTGGAGGACATTGAAGGCCTGACAGTGCGGCAGCTGAAAGAGATCCTGGCTCGCAACTTTGTCAACTACAAGGGCTGCTGTGAGAAGTGGGAGCTGATGGAGAGGGTGACGCGGCTGTACAAGGATCAGAAAGGACTTCACCACCTGGGTAAGGGGCTGTCTGGGCAGTGGTCAAACAGCTCTGGAGTGTCTGCTGTCAACTGAAAACATGATGGCACCAACCTGACACAATTCCCATGCTTTTAGCTGTGGAAATAGTCAACTTACTCAATAATAGCTGTCACTTGTGGTTAAGTGCCAAGACCAGGTCAGGTACTATGTACATTTATTTAATACTCAGAGCAGCATAACCCTTTCATTGTGGAGCCTATTAGAGCGCCTGCCTACGGAACATGAGGCCCTGAGTTCAAACTCCTCATTAAAAATAAAAAGTAAGGGCTAGGGCTGGTGGTGTGACTAATGATAAGACACTCGCCTAGCATTCCCAGGACCATAAAATGAAACGAAACAAAAAAAACAAAACAGACCATGCCAGGCACCAGTGGCTTATGCCTGCCATCCTAGCTACTTAGGAGGCAAAGATCAGGAGGATTGCGGTTTGAAGCCAGCCTGGGCAAATAGTTCGCAAGACCCTATCTCGAAAATACCCAACATAAAAAGGACTAGTTGAGTAGCTCAAGGGGGATAGGCCCTGAGTTCAAACCCCAGTACTGCAAATAAATAAATAAATAAACAAATATATAAAACATTACAGAGCCCAGATTTGAATTGAGGATTTCCAGGTTTATGCCTAGGGCTTGCTACCATATGCCCCCTGCACCATGCTCACTCCAACCACCAACTCTGTAAACGGGAAATTGTGAGGTGAATCCCAGCACATGGAGAACGTATCTGTTCTGCCTGCCCTTGGACTTTCCTTTTGTTCATCTCCCAAAGCATTTTATGTGAGATCATTTTTAGGAGATGGTCAAAATAATTTGAGTCTGTGGTTGAGTTTGGGAAAAAATGCTTTATGCTATGTCCCCATTACTGATTCATGGCAGATAATTTTTTATTAAAAATATAAAAGAGGATCTGGGTACCTGTGGCCCATTCCTGTAATCCTGGCTACTCAGGAGGCAGAGATCAGGAGGATCGTCATTCAAAATCAGCCTGGGCAAATAGTTTGAGAGACCGTATCTCGGAAAAAAATCCTTACAAAAAAGGGGCTGGTGGAGTGGCTCAAGGTGTAGGCCCTGAAGTTCAAACCCCAGCACCAAAAAAAAAAAAAAAAAAAAAGTGTGTGTGTGTGTGTGTGTATATATACATACATATGTACATATATATACATATGTACATATGAGGTCTGGTAGAGTGGCTCAACTGGTAGCGTGCATGCCTAGCAAGTATGAGGCCCTGAGTTCAAAACCCAGTACCACCAAAAAAAGGCCCAAATATAAAAAGAAGTCCTGGTGAAAAAAAACATATTTGTCTTATTTGAACTCAACATTTCCTGAAATTATTTTACCATAGAACCTTCACCTATCCTCTCATTCCCAACTGATGTAGCTCCTGTAGAGCCTGTTGTAGACTGTCAGGCTTCCCACTGGGATCATCTCAAAAGTCTCCCTAAAGTTGCAAGGATCTGGGGAGTATAATATTAATAACACTTAATCCGTTTTTCAGTCTGGCTGATTGAAACAGTCAGATTCTTTATTCTTTCTTGACTGTAGTGCTGGTTTCTAAGGCACTAGGAAAGGATATTGTGTGTCTCCAGTGTCCTTGAAGTTGGCAATTTTGGTCAGGCCCTTTTTTTTTTTTTTCTTTAAAGAGCAAAGCAGATACAGCAGCAGTAGCTCCATGCATTCTCAGCATGTAGAGTGAGTGTGGAGGGTGTGGGTGTGAATAGCCAAGCTACGATCCCAGCAGAAATGACAGCAGGGTGGAGGGAGACCTTCCTTGTGCCGTTATACTGTCATACACTCATGTATCTTTCTGTTTTCTTTTCAGTGTGTGGTGCTGAAGACAAAAACGGTATGTAGTTGCTTCTGTTTGGGAACAGGCTTAGTCTGTTAGCAATTCTGTCCTTGCCTTCAACCTCGATCGATGTTCACAGTTGAGGAATTGTACACATTCAGGTTTCCAGAGAAAGGGTGTGCAGAGACTCACTGACAACCAGAGTTTCTTGGCATCTTTAGATATTCTCACCTCCCTACCACTGTCAAGGAAGGAGAGCGGCAGCAGTTTAGTGGCTACTGAGCAGCGCATTGCTGGGCTGCCGAAGTTCAAGATGCCATTGTGGCATGTGACATACTAAGTGCATTTTCCATTTTCCTAATGTTTCCATGCAGTTCTGGTCTGAGTGGGGAAAGAGTTTCTACCTTCAGGGAAGTCACTTGAGGGATCTGCCAGCTACTGTACCAACTAAAAAGCAGAGTGGTGACCTGAGAGAGCCCTATGTGAATGGCACTGGGCAGTAGCCAGAGCTACTTGGGAGACAGAGCAGGAAAAGTATAACATGGGTTGCTCTCTGGGTGCAAGGTGCACGTCCCACCTCTGATGCTGTGTGCCCAGCTCTGTGTTAAAGACCACCAGTGTGTTTTCTGCAGAACACACTGAGGTGCTCTGGACAATATGGGGAGTGCTCCAAAATATGCTATGCATGCACCTTGGAGCTGCAAGGTGCCTGTTCATGAGCCTCCTCCCAAAAGAGAACATTCTCAGAGTAGTGCTGGAGCCTGCAGAGCCTTTTCAAACATTTGCAACTTCCGATTGTGTTACGTAGTAAAATAGCCTTTTGCTTAGAATGGGTCAGAGTTGATCTTTCCTTAGTTTCCTGTGATCATTTGGATGCTTGGACTCATTCCGTTGCCATACCAAGATCAGGTTAATCATTTGATACCTTCCTTTCTTTTCTCATTCCCTGGGAGAATGCTGACAGCTGAGTTTGCATTTACTGTCACTCCTGAGAGAACTAATAAGTAACTGAAATTCTATAAATTGCTCAGCTTATTGTATACCTTCCAAATAGTCCGTTAGGGCCACACAAAGGAGATAAATACGTTTTTACTCTCTTTCATAACCAGCCTAGCTCCTAGGGGAAGTGTTTGACTTTTTGAATAGTCCAGAAGAAGAGGGAAGGTATGAAAGCAAGAGATTCCACAGGGGCCTGACACAGGTGGCTCACACCTGTAATCCTAGCTACTCAGGAGGCAGAGATCAGGAGGATGGAGGTTTGAAGCCAGCCAGGGCAAATAGTTCACGAGACCCTATGTTGAAAAAGCCCATCACAGAAAAAAGGCCAGTAGAGTGGCTCAAGGGGTAGGCCCTGAGTTCAAACCCCAGTACTGGAAGGAAAAAAAAAAAATTCTTCTGTGGAATAGCCAAGCCCTATGGTAGAGATGACTGGTATAAGGTTAGTTCTGTTTGTAGCTATCTAGTTCAGGCTGCATTTTAAGACTTATCGGAGAATAGCTAGGCTTTTTTTTTTTTTAATAGGTTTTTGAACATGAAAATTTTTGTTTGTGAAGCTACTCCTGGCATAACCAAGTTAGCATTTATCGAGAACTCTCAATAAATGTGCACTGGACAGTTAATATCTTTTTTTTTTTTTTTTTTTGTAATACTGAGGTTGGAACTCAGGGCCTACACCTTGAGCCACTCTTACCAGTCCTATTTTTGTGATGGTGTGATGGGATCTCGCAAATTATTGCCTGGGCTGGTTTTGAATCACAGTCCTCCTGATCTCTGCCTCCTGAGTAGCTAGGATTACAGGTATGAGCCACCGGCCCCTGGTGGTTAATATCATCTTGGTAGTCTCCACCATACTGCCCATGAGCTGTGGGGCCCGCCTGTCTGGGTTTGAATCTTGGCTATCTCAGCCACTGTGTGCCCTTAGACAGCCACTTAACTTTGGCCCCAGTTGCTTCATCTATAAAATAAGTAGTTCCTCTGAGGACTCAATGGGTTAATACACACAAAGCTTTTAGGATCCTGCCTGGCACATGGTAGGTATTTGATATATGTGAACTGTTATCATTCTCTTGGGAGAATGTTCATTACTGGACATTTAAAGAATACCTACACGACCGATGTTTGGGGATTCAAAGATGAGTATCTGACCTCAGAGCACATAGCAAATGCTAAGTGTATGATTGTAGAAAATGACTGAATATGGTGAATTAAGGAGCTCTTAGTTAGTCTACTGAGAGAGAGAAGTAGGCAAACCAAAATTATAATACAGTGTGGTAAGTGGTCAGGGGCTATGAATAAACTTCTGTGGTTGTAGCACAGAAGAGGAAGCAGTACTCTGCCATGCTTCTCCACCAGGAAGTCTCATCAGAGGAAGCCCATGGGGTAGATTGTGGGATAGCATGGTGGGGGGGCTATGTTTATAGATAAGCCTCATAATTCTTAATGAACCATTCGTTACAGTTATGTTTTTATCTAAACTTTTCTGAACCAGTTTTATCTTCGCTGCACATTTTGCCTCAGGGGATAACAAGTCCCTAAGTACCACTTACTCACTGTATTACAGTCTCAATTGTCTGAAACTTTCTTTCTAGCTTTGAGGACTTTGCCCTAGTTATGTTCTGGGATGTGTTTGATCTGCAAGTACTATACTGTTCAAATCAGAGCCCTTTGGAGGGGGTATGGATTAAACAAGCAACTGGAATTGAGTATTGATGGGGGAGTTTTCTTGGAGGAGTCCTATTTGGATGAAATACGTGTGTTTGGAGCTTATTCAGTGTGCCTTTTCTCTCCCATGCTTGCCCCAGTACACTCACTTTCTCCTCTGTCCTTTTCTGTCTGGTGTTTGTGCAGGGGAAACAGTGCCATCTGGCCTAGAGGAGAACCTATGTAAGATCTGCATGGACTCACCCATTGACTGTGTTCTGCTGGAATGTGGCCACATGGTGACCTGTACCAAGTGTGGCAAACGCATGAATGAATGTCCCATCTGCCGGCAGTATGTGATCCGAGCGGTGCACGTCTTCCGTTCCTGAGGGCTTGCATCAGATTCTTCAGTGCCTTATGGGAGATAGCCTAGAGTGTCTGGGCCCAGGGTGGTCAGCTTGCAGAGGGGCAGGCTATGAGAAGAAATTCTGCAGTGTTCCCAAGACCAGGGCAAGCAAAGATGCCATGTTCATCCTTGGGCATGCCTGTCTTGCCATAGGGGTGCACCTCTTGACTGGCAGATCCCCGGACCAGTGGGAACTGGTACAGATCCCCACTGGGTGAGTGTCCATTTCAGTGAACAGAGGTGGTAATGGCAATTGAACAGAGGACTTTCCATAACTTAGACCATGTTTTCCTCCCTTCCTCTGAGAACCTAGACACATTTTCAACTCGTCCCCTAGACACGCTTGCCTGTTTCATCAATTGGAAGTCCTGCTAGAAATGGTTCTCTTCCAGCATATTTGGATTTAAATTTCTGGTCTCTCTGCCTTAACACACCTTTAAAATCTCACTACATTGCCTAAAATCCATTTGTTTATTTGGACCAAAAATAAGTTAGTTTATCAGATCAATCTATCCTTAGGATAGAATTTGGATCAGTAAACTTATCTCTGGTAAGAAATGAAACAAATACTATAGAAAAGTTTCAAAATTGTTGCTTCCTTGAGTGCTGGGATTGGAAGCTATCAGTCAACTGACCTGTCCTGAGAGCCAACAAAGCATCTGGCTCCCAAACTGCTGCAAAGTCCAGTCTCTGGAGGCCAGGATGGTACATGGATAATCTCTGCTGCTGCTGCTTTTGGGTCTTGACTTTGAACCGTCCTTAATTTTTGGATTATGAAGAAAAAGGAAGCATTGCATGGAAGCAATGGTTTTCTGCTTATCTTTGGCTTATGTTTTTCCTTTTCCAACAGGCAAAGGGTTTTAAACTTGGTCTCAAAGAAGGCATAGAGACTGAGGCAGAGCCTTGCTCTTCTCTAGTCAGACTTCTCATGAAGTTTTTGGAGACCCTAAGAGGCACTGGAAGGTACTAAATGAGGCTGGATTCTGCCCAGGAGCAGACAGCTGGAAGTGCCTACTTTCATTTCCTTTCTCAGCCTATTGATTTTTCAGGCAGGTCAGGATGAAGCATTTCTCTGGGCCCTTTGATCATGAGGAGCTGATGTTCTTGAGGCACCTTAGGGTCTTTACACCACTGGAGCTGATTATAGTTAACTGGGAATGTTCAGCAAAGCACAAAACACATATGCTATCAGAAGAGCTGTGTGTGCCCTATTCCCAGTGGATAAACTATGCAAACCCTAAGCATCAGAGGGCTTGGAAGCCCCCCCCCAAAAGAGGAACCACACCCACACCCCAACTGAGATCTGAGACTAGAAGAACTATAACTAATGACTGGAAGCAGAGGGAAGCCTCTAAGGGGATGTATTAGACATGCTGTGCTTTCCTTCATCAACCCACCAAATGTCTGGGGGAATTTAGTAATTTCATAAAGTAGTTGTCAGTGGAACCCTGGCCATGTACCTCAACATACACTAAGTCTGGATGATCTAATTCTGGGCAGCAGCTTTTGTAGAAGTTGGGGAATCATATTCTCCCATGATGTCACCTTTCACCTTTCTGCTGGTCATTAAGTACTATAGTTTACAATGCCTTCAATTTAACAAAGGGTCATTTGGCTACTCCTCAATTCCACTGTAAAGCAGGTCTATGCATATGCAGCTCATTAAGATCTAGCAGTAATTCCAAGGCAGAAGCTGGCTCTCCCTCTTACAATTTGCTTTCTCTGCTGAGGCCTTACCTCCCCACTTCCCAACTTCCTCCTAGAGGGGAATTGAAAATAATACACTGGTGGCTGCTTAGTAACCTCAGAAAGAATTTAAACTGATGTCATTTATTCATTTTGAAGAAAAAAACTTGCCTTTAAATCTCTTAGCTCTCAGTGAAAGTTTTCATTTGGGAAAAAGTGTCAAAACACCCTGATTTTGTTTTGTTTTTGGTATGGTCTTTGTTATTACACAAAATAAAAGTTGGGAGTCCCCAGATCCCATTCCAGTTAATATCTAACCCACGTAGAAAACCTGATTTTTTTTTAAAAACCTTGAATCCTCATCTCTCGTGGATCGATTCGTTGTCTTAATTATAAAAGCAACTAATTCTTCCAATTCAGTGGCTTTTGCTGTGATTGCTCTGAGATTTCAGTTGAGACTTGCTTTAAAAGACTTGGACAGCTGAATGGTTCATAATACGTTGGAATTGTTGGAGCCAACTAATAAGCTGTACAGAAAATTAGTGCTCTATATTGTATAAATTTGTTGATCTCTTGGATGTGAATGTGTTACTTCAAGTGGCTTATATTAAGATTCAGACTTACTTGGGTGTTAAAGCACACCCAAATGTATTTTTTTGTTACAGAGCTCTGCTTTATAATTTTGTAATAAAGTTTCAATATAGAAGCCTGTTCCATCTGGTGGGAGGATGATGCCAGAGGCCTTGTAGTTTATTGACAGAACTGAAAACCATAGGCAAATTTCAACCCATGTGCACATACACATGCTCTTGCGAGAGACTAATTTTGGTTCATGTGGCCTTGGCCAAGATATCCCTGCTCAGTGTTGTGACTTGCCCAAGATCTCAATAGAAGTATGTGGAGAGGACATGGAACAACCTAGAAGCAGCTAGGAGGAAAAGATGAATCCCAAGACCACACGGGAAGAAGCACCAAGTGAATGTAGATATTTATACTGTTTGAGTAGATGAGCCTTTAAGGTCTAAGTAGAAAGGAGTAAGAACAGCTACTGTAGCACTTAAGTTTTCGTGTTACTCTGGAAGGTACATGAACTTTTGCATACAGTGTTGCCCCTGGGAGAATAGGATGTGAGGATCTAACCTGTGACTGAGAAGAGAATTTTGTCCAGGCTGAGCTATTAGCACTGTGTCCTCATTGTTCTGGATGGCTGACCTGTTCAGCATCCATAACTGACCACTGCATGTTGCTAGCCAGCACCATGTGAAGAAAGGCTGAAAAGAGAGCAGGCCTTCTGGGGAGGTATAAGACGTTCTTGGTTAGGGTGTAGTAGAAAATACATGAAAGGGTGCAAAACTGTACATACAATCTAATCTCGACAGCAAAGAAAAATAGGCATCAGAAAGACTGAAAGGAAACAGAAACCTGTTGACAATGAACTGGAGCTAACAGTAAGGCAGAGGGCAGAGCTTGTGATTGAGATGGCCTGCAGCTGTCAGGGCCCTTGGTCAGGAGGCACCCTGAATGTGAGAGTATGAAGGGCAGGGGACTGTGTCTAGGTCAGCCAACTGAAGGGCAGGACCCTTAAGGGAGAGCCTTGTTCTGCTGCCCTTGCCAGTTGCTTGGCCTGGGGAGGTTAGAGAGTGGGATGGGCATCAATGTAGTCAAGTGATCAGAGGAATAGCTTTTGTTTCCAGAGGATAAGCTAGGAAGTCTATTAGCCCCTAGGCTGAATGGTACCTATTAGAAAACATCAAATGTCCTGCACTAGTCATGGGAGAATCTACCACTTCTGTGCCCTCCTTCCCCACTGTATCTTTAACAGTAGATAGAAGCCAATGTTAGTCAGCTTCAAATTGGTACTCTTGGCGGAGTACTGCCTTGGCTAAGTACATGGGTGTGGGTGTGGCTCTCTGTATCTTACAAGGCCAGTCAAGTATTCAAGAGTTGAGTCATACTGATCTAGCTCACAAGAGCTGGACTAACAGGCCTGCTGATTTATGATATGCTGACCCTCAGGAGTCCATATAACCTGCACCTGGAAGCCAGTGAGAGGAGCAAGAGCTTTGTAGGTTGAGGTTGTTAGGCCAGGGCCCCTTCTCTGGGTAGGGTCTGAACATACCAATGGTGATGTTCCCAACTCTAGATAAAACTGTGCCAATTGCTTTACGTATCTGAGGTCAGTAACAGCCCTTATGAGTTAAGAGTAGTGCCTACTTTCATTCTACCTTTGATGCTCAAAGAATAAGTTGCTTGCCTAAGTTACAGTTATTATATTCAGGCCTCTGCCTTGAAGCAGTCTATACCTGTGCTAGTCACTCTGGTGGTCACTGTTGACGTGAACATTTGAAGCTGAGTTAAAATGGGAACTCCAGCTTGTCAGGGTTGCTAGCCACCACATACGAAATACTTGACAGCCATGTGTGGCTAGTTGAGCTAGCCAGTGCAGACTCACAGCACATTTCCACTGCTACAAAAACACCTGAATAGCACTGGTCTATACAAATTGTCTTTTGTTTTTCAAATAAATCGGATAGAGTTGCTCTTGGTGAACAGGAGGTATAAACTTGTCTCAGATGTGGATTTGTACTCACTTGTCCTAGGTTTTGAGGAGGTAAATCCATCTTCCTGGAGCCTCTGTATCCCTCAAATAACCTACCCTCCACACACAAGCCATATTTTCTACCTGATGCCAGCCCCTCCCTTCCAGCTGGAACCCTCCCCTGTACTAAACCAACACAGAGAGTAAAGCTCTCAAAGTTCATTTTGTTCTCTTTCAAATGAGGGCTCAGCCTGGCAAAAGGGCCATGCTGAGAAGTTTTTGCCAGATAAGCACTTCTGAGGGCTGTCTTTTAAATAGATTTAAAATATGTCTGAAAGTAAAAAAGGGGTAGGCAAGGAAGAGGGGACTCTGCTCCTTAATCACTAAGGGAAACCGTAGAGGAAACTTGGTGGGGAAGAACAGATACTGCAAGACATTTATAAAAATTGTAGTTCAGTGGGAGAGTGCTTGCCTAGCATGCATGAGGCCCTAGTTTAGATCCCCAGAACCACAAAACTAAGGTGTTTAAACAAAAGATGACAAAGCCAGCACCCAGATCTGAAAGATTTAAACCAACAAGAGCAGCTGACTTCACTTGTGGTACCCATAGCAATGAATTTCTGGTCCACAAGAGGTCATGAATTGCTGATGGGGTTTGGAAGACATGCTGCTTGGAAGATAAGGCCCACCCCTCCTCTGTTCCTTGTCTACCTGCCTCCAGCCTTGTGACGTGGAGTGGATGGGAGAAGGGCCCAAGGGAGAGGGATGGATGTAGTCCTAGCAGGGAGCTACCAGCCTCCTTTTCCGGATACATGCCCAAATCCACTCTGGGGAGACCAACTGGGCCCCAGAGTTCTTGTCCCTGCTACCCAGCACATGTGTGGCTGAGGCCATGTCAAATTCCTGTACCAGGTCCCCATCAAATGCCACAAAGTAGCGTCTGAGTCGGCTGAAGTCTGGTGTGGAGGGTGGCAAGTACAGCCGCACCCCAGTGAAGACATCCAGCAGCACCTGCGAAGGTAAAAAGGTCTAGGTGGGGCTTTACCCAGAAGAGCACAGGACAGAGAAAGATTAGAAAAGAGTCGGAAATGGAGGGAGCCTAAAGTTTAGGACACAGCAGAGTTTACTGGAGAAAAGGCACTGATACCCTCATGCTCTGCTCACTCTAAATGACACAAAACTGACACTCTCCCATTCTTGCCTACGGAAAAAGGAGAGGGGAACGGACCCCAACATTTGGGACCTAGAGATAGGAAAAAGGACACGTCTTCAAGAGCCATCCAGTGGCTCTCAGACCCAGTGCTCCCTGACTCAGAGCCATCTTTTGAAGATCAAGCAGTTCACTTTACACAGCTAGCTAGACCAAGGGTTCCAGAGTCTCACTCATCACTGCAGATGAGTTCAAGGACATCAGGAGGACAAAGGGGGAAAGTTTCTATTTTCTTTTGGGAACTGGGCTCAGTCTCTGAGTTGTCAGACTTCTGTGCTACTCCTGGGCAGGGATGTGGAGGGTAAAGGCACAGTCACTCGTGTTTACTTCCCCATCTGGCCTTTGGGCCAGCAGCTTCCCTGCAGTGAGTCGGTACTTAGTTCCTGGCCTCAGTAGGCGCTAAAAAGATGTTGCCAAACCAAAGGGTGATTGAGTATAAAAGAGAAATGATTCCTCAGCCAGGAGGAGAGTTACCAAGCCAGGGAGCTCTCCCTCCCCTTCTTGGCTGAACTTGGTTTCCACCCTGACCACAAACACACTGCTGTACCCACACCCAGGCTGGGCTTTAATGTAAACTGTCACTTGGGACTGGCAGCTGGGTGGGCCCTTGCAGCCCTTCTTGCTAGGCTGGGCTCTATGTCCTGCCTGCTGGCACAGCTTTCCTTCCTCTCTGCTGGCTGGCCGGCCGCCTCTGCAAGGCAACAAGAGGGCACAGGGTGGAGCAGCAGCACTGCCAGCCTGCTGCCTGCAAAAGTTCATGGGCAGGCTGGAGCACTAGGCCTCGGGGCTGCCGTGCACTGCTATTCTTACCCTCACCTTGGTTTGGCACGGGGTTTCATCAGCAGCTTTTCTCTTCAACCCCACTTTCACTGGAGAAGACTTCATAGCTGGCTTCTCTCTTGATTTCACAGAGGAAGGCTTTGTAGTGGACTTGTTGCCTGCAGGGTAAGAATTCAGAGGGTAAGAACTGCTGATAAGGGTTCCTGAAGTCAGGGACAGACCAGACCCTTCCTCTGCTATAAGGAAGGGTGACAGGGAAGGAAAGGCATCAGCTAAGTCATTTAGTTCAAAAGTGACTTATTCCCCAGTCAGATTGGCTCTCCCAGGGCACTACCATTCAGGTTTACCTAGCAGAATAGCTTCTGGCCTGGGATTGGACACATACCAGGAATGCAGTCACTATGACCCGCAGTGAACACAGATTATCTCAGAGCTGTATGTGAGACTTAGGTCCCTGTCTTTCCCTTCAATCTCTGTTGCTCACACCACCCTCTCCATCACTTCAGTACCCCCTTCCCTTACCGCCTTTGCTGTTGGGGTTACTCAGCTTCCCTTCAGCCTTCTTGGCACTGGCAGAGGGCTTATTGGGGGAAGCTTTGGAAGCCTTGTGGGATGCAGCAGACCTGGAGGTACCCTCATTCTCGCCACTGCTGCCTCCTGTAGTGGAGCTCCCCTCATCTCCGGCCACTACAGTGAAGTCTGCCTTCTCCTTGGACAGCTGGTATAGTTCCTGAAAAGAGATACAGAAGGTTGACTGCTATTATTCTCAGACACTGACTTCACTATATGTGGGGAGTATGATTTAAAAACATAGCTGGGGAACAAAGAGGTGAGAAAGACAAAACAAGCAAGGGAAAAAACGAGTTGGATTCCTTGGTGCTTTCCCAAAGTAGTATCAAAGTGCAAATCACCTCTGGATCCCAGGGTTTTTTTTTTGTTGTTGTTTTGGTTTCTTCTTTTTGAGACAAGGTCTTGCAGTGTAACTTGAGTTGCCTCAAACTCCTCCTGCCTCAGCTTCCATTTACTGGTGTGCTGGCTGGACCTCAGTAGTTCTTATTCTGCAAAGTAGGACTTCTGCCTGGGGCAACCCCTTTTAAGGAGGTTGGGGGAGGCTGGCCTGAGGGCTGATGATAGTGAGCTGGTGGGAAGGAACCTTGGACTACTGCCCCCTGGCCCGGCACCAGTTTGGTCTCCTGCACTGCCCTCCTAGCCCAGTTACAGTGCAGTGCGAGACAGAAGTTAGAGGATGTGTGAAGAAGCCAAATGCTTAGGGTTCCTAGGGCAGGACAGCAGGGTAGAAGACACACAAACATCCTAAGAGCTGGCACCTTGAGTTGGGGGAGGTTAGTGGCAGATTTCCAGTCTTTGTCATCCCGGATTCTGGTGCAGCGAGGGAATCGGATGGAGATTCCATCTGCTGTGTGAGCCTCAGATTTGGAGAATTCTGCCCCTGTGATCTCCCACACAGCAGCTTTCTGTTAGGAGTAAGGCAGGTAGGTCATCTCTGGCTAAAGAAGGAAACATTTCCCACCAGTCAGAAGCAACTCAGAACAGGCCAAACCACAACAGCTCTGGCTGGTGTTAGTCCTGCTGTGGCTGCCAGTCCCTTCTAGAACCAGCCCTCTGTGACAAGAGAATGGGCAAGTCTCTTTTTCTCTCTCTCTCCTGAGGATAATTCCCCAGTGCCTGAGACGTTACTGAATAATTCAGATTCCAGTCCCTGGGTAGACTTTCTGTAAGGTTGGGATAACTTTTCTGAAGCATTAGAAAACTTGCAAACTGATTCTGTAGGCCAGGGACTATAAGCCAAAGGGTGATACCTTAGGGTCTGGAACAATGAAGTCAGGATAGTAGATTTTGTTGACCTTCAGCCAGCTGGGTATTTTGCTGGGATCCTGGAGGAGAAAAGATGTTGTTCTGGGCTGTCCCCAGCTGGCACAAAGTTGGCAATGGGACTGTGAAATGTGATTTAGGTAAAAAGGGTGACCCTCACCCCACACGATCCTCTCTTGTGGGGGCTGTGGCATGCAGGGCACTGTGTACAAAGCTGACAGATTTAAAGGCCCATTTCTGCTGCCATGGTCAACAGCAGTCTCCATTCTGGGGAGGCAATAAATGATATCTGTGGTCCCCAAAGTGCAGCTGCTGACTGACAGCCTGGCTAGGATCAAACAGGTCCCTTCCTCACCTTGCTGATCTTCACCATATCCAGCTCCTTCTGCAGGCGGACAAGTGTGGCATCATCATGGCCTCCTGCACACTTGGTGACAGTGCACCACTTCTGGCTGCTAGGGTCATAGCAGCCCATCAGGAAGATGGACATCATGCCACCTGCAAGGGGAGCATGGGCTGAGTGTGGGTTACAGAAAAGGGCCTCTTATTTAGCTGTGATTTTTTTTTTTTTTTTGGCAGTGCTAAGGATCGAACTTGGGCTCTTGTGCATGCTAGACAAACACTAAGCTACATCCCATGTGATTTTTAAATTTTGGTTACCTTTATTAAGTTAGGAATAACCACACTCAACTTGGCTGGGCTTTGGCAATTGGATGGCACCTGGCACATAGTATATTACCTGAAAGTATTAGTTCCTCAGATCCCAGCTTCCTCTCTAGTGAGAAAACAGATTTTCCCTAATGAGAGAGCTGTCAGACCCTGCAGAAATAGCTATGGGGAGCCTCCTTCTGCCAAGGCAGCACAGGGCATTCTTGTCCAACTTTACTATATCCCAAGTCCATAGCTCCCAGATGTCCCTGCCTAATATGACTGAGGCCAGGTTGGATCCCTCTAAGGAAGTCATGACTGGACATGCTGGCAGACCAAGACAATAAGGACAGCCTGTATCTCACGTGCTTCCTTCTGAAAGAGTACCATTGCAGTTGTCAGATGCACTGACCTTTGCTCCCCTGCCCGTAGAAAGCCCCAAGAACCACCAGGTCAGCTGTGTCAGCCATGGCCCCCTCATTCAAATAGTCTTTCTTCACTTTCAGCCAGTGCCGCTTCCCAGGCTCATATGTACCCTGAGGAAATGCAAGAGAAGGGCCACAAAGTAGAATGCAAACTCCATGAGAGTGGAATTTGCCTTTTTTACCACTGTAAACCAGATCTACCATAGTGTCCAGGCACTACAGGAGACACAAAACCCCCCATCTTTCAGATGCAGGAAAGACTTGTTCCAGCCCTGGAAAGGCTCCTCCTCACCTTCTACTCCCAACCACCACAGGTGCCACTGCCATATCCTGTCCTGTCAGGATAGGAAAGGCTCAGGGAAGAGGGATCAGGACTTTAGAAAAAAGCAACGGGTGTGGCCACTTTACCTTCACATCCTTCAGCACCAGCCCTTCCAGCCCCTCCCGGATCACACGGTTAATCATGTCAGCCAAGTCTGAGGCTTTCTGAGGGACAATAGGAGAGATGTTGAGATGGTGTGAGAATAGAGAAGGGAATAAAGTGGCAGTTGTTCCTTTCTGTATACTAGGAAGTATCCCCAGAGAAACATTCTAATCTTGATGTAAGGGACAAAAGGTTTATAAACCAGGGAGCCTCCTAAACAGACAGATGCTGTGGCTTTGAGATGCAGGGTGCTTAGCTAGGAAGGACTTTCCTGCCTTGCACTTCTGGGTGAAGATTAGTAGACAACATCTGTAACAGTCAAAGACAAACACACCAGCAGCCCCCATAAGATAAGACTTAACCCAAGGGGTTCTCTGCTCCACTTTTAACCACCAGGACCTTGCCTCGTCGAGGGTCTTCACTTACTGTGACTTGCTTCATTTCTGAGAACATGATTCGGTTGGGAATTTCTACCATATTATCATGAAGAAACTTCCGCCGCTCACACAGAGGCCTACGGGAGACGGGAGAGCTGAGGAAAGGATCTTTCCACCCCTATCAGGAATTCTGAGGCGAGACGAGCACAGTGCTAAAACTGCTGCTTCAGGAGAGGGTCTGCATGGATTAAAGCTCTCATGTACAACAGTTCTGCTATCAAGGGCCCCATCATGACTGACGATGGACAACCGTGACCTGTGGCACAGAACCAGTACATAGTTATGGTTTCTACTTTATTGAGCCAAGAAAAAACTGGCCTCTAGCCCAGATTGTACAAATTCTGGTCCCACTTGAAAAATGACCCCAACTCTTGTTTTTTATGTCCTGCACCCTGCTTTACCCCAACCCCAAGGCTGGCTGGTCTTCAGGCCAGCAGACTAAGATAGGCCTTAGGACCCAAAGTCTAACTCCTACCCCACAGTTCTTTCTTTTACTCCTTACATGATCGAGGATGTGGGGGCTACAGGAGTGGAGAGGGGAGACATCTCTAAGTGGGGCTGCTTAGACATTTCTCAGCAGCTAACACTGGCTGCTTTTAGATGCAGCTCAATCAAGACTGCTAGTGCTCCCCCAGATGGTTCCTCCCATAGGCTTCCCTACAATTAGGAGCTTCTTACTGTCGTCTCTTCTGAAGTCAAACCTCTTGAGCTGAAAAGCATTTGCCTTGTGCCCCCATAAGTACTACTGGAGTCAAAAAACAGAAACTCTACTGTGCTCACAAGCTATGTCTCTTCAACAGTCCATTTTGCTTTAGGAGAGAATTTTTTTTTTTGGTGGGGGGTTGGGATATCTCTGAAACTTAAGCTCTCAGAGGTAAGATGGGGTTTTCCTCACAATGAATGGGGAGTTGGCTTGTGGCACTGTACCTCTGCCAACCGTGGACGCGAAGACACATATGCCAGGCTTTCCCCTCCTTCCTTTTCAACAGCACCCTTATATTCCCAACCCAGGAAATTAAAACAGGTTCCTGAGTGTGAAGAAGATATGCAGGGCTGGGGAGGCAGGGTAGCTCAACGGTAGAGAACGTGCTTAGCATGGGTGAGACTCTGGGTTCAATCCCCAAAACACTGAGGGGGGAGAAAAAAAGATGCTAGGGCTGGGTGCCAGTGGCTCATGCCTGTAATCCTGGCTATTCAGGAGGCAGCGATCAGAATGATTGTGGTTTGAAGCCAGCCCAGGCAAATAGTTCCGTGAGACCCCATCTCAAAAAACCCTTCACAAAAATAGGGCTTGTGGAATGGCTCAAGGTGAAAGCCCTGAGTTCAAATCCCAGTACTGCAAAAAAAAAAAAAAAAAAAGAAAATCTAAGTAACTCACCTGTCCATCAGGCTTACATCATTAAAGTAGATACAATCAAAAACAAACAGGCAGACATTAGCATCTTGGAAAGCAGCTTTCTGTAAGAAAAAGCAAGGCAGTAGGTACGTGAGAGACAGAAGCATGAAAACTGGGGAGTGCCAGTTCACTTCTGGAGGCCCTCTGCAGCATCTGATGGAAAAGTCCTATTTGTGGTCTTAAAACACCTGGGCCACGAGGGCACTCTGCAGATGGTGCTTGCTATAATTCAGATGTTTGTCTTTCGAAGGCCCATGTATTAAAGACTTGGTCTCCAGGGTGATGATACTGGGAGGTGGTGGAACCTGAGAGGTGGGACCTTGTCAAAGTCCTTAGGTCCCTGACAGTGTGCTCTCTCTCTCTCATTTTTTTGCAGTGCTAAGGCTCAAATGCAGGGCCTACACCTTGAGTCACTCTACCAGCCCTTTATTTTGTGTGTGATGGGTTTTTTTGAGATAAGGTCATGAACTATTTGCCCAGGCTAGCTTCGAACCGATCCTCCTGATCTCTGTCTCCTGAGTAGGAGGGATTACTACTAAGTGAGCCATGGGCACCCAGCTCTCTCCTCTTAATAAGCTAATTAAATCAAGTATTTTGTTATAGTGATGGAAAGCTAACACAGTGCTGAATGGAAACCAACTCAGTTCTAAGTTGGTTCTTCAGTGAGAGCTCATGCACACACATTCAATTTTATATATATGGCCCTGATGCAATAAGTACCTTATGTACCCCCAGAGACCCAAAAGGTAGGGGTTTGCCTGTTTTGTTGTCAATCAGGAGCACCTCAGAATCCAAGATCATGCTGTGGCCCCCAGGAAAAGCCTGGGGGATGTAGTCCTTAAAGTGGGCCACCTGGAAGTAGAAAGGTAGCTTTGGTGAGGGATGAACAGGCAAACCAAGACCCAAAGCCAAGCCCCAGAGATCACAGCCCCACGCCCCAGAAGGAATTTAGAGTAACATGGGGGAGCCCAACTAATGTGTAAAACATAGCTAGCAGACCTTGTCAGCACCTGGACAATAGGATTAGGTAATCTGCTTTAGTACCTCTGTCTAGACCCAGGAAGAGGTAGCTCATGCTGAGTCACTTGCTATGGGATACAGAGAAGGCACGGTTTTGGATAAAAAATAAACAAGAGTGAACATATAGGGAAGGAGGAAGAGGTAGACAAACATGGGAGGTAGGAGGGAAGAAATGGGCAGACTAGTGTCTGTTGCAGAGGACAGGCAGTTATTAGACTGAGGATTAGACTGAGAACAAACTGGTTGGAAAGAAGACAGAAACAAATGAACCCCCTCAGGAGCAGCAAGTGGATGTGAGTGGGGTCTTCTGACCCCTCAGCCGTCTTCAGAGTAAAGAGAAGATGCTTGGAATTGGGTTTTTCCTGATTAAGGAGAGCTCTAATCTTTGATAGCTCAATAGGAAGAAGTCCCACTGCAACACTGGTAGACCCTGCCAGTGATGCCAGCAATAGAGTCCAGACAGTCCCACTGTGGATCAATTACTTGCCTGGGTGGGGCACACAGGTCATTGCCCAGGATGCTTGGAGCAGGATGAGGAAAGGCCTGCCCACCCATCCCACTTCCCTTTAATCCCCAACTCAGCCCTTTAAGAATTAATAGCACAGGAGAGGCAAGGGATGAGGGAACCTTGGTAAGGGAAAGGGCAAATTCTGGAAAGCTGTGCTCAAACATCCTCCTGGGTCACAAGAGGTTCCTATCCAAGGCCATCCTCACCAGAGCAGTTTCACAGTGCCCCACAGAACAAGTCAACCTGCACTACTGCTCTATGTGAGGCAGCGCTCACCTCTCCTAAGCACCTGAAACTATTGGCCTTGACTGCTTTGTCCCCTGTAGACCACACAACATGTCCCTCTGACCCCCTGGGACTCTGAGAAACTGAGTCAGAGTCAGGAAAGAAGGGGGTAACAAGGTCATAAATTCCATGTACTCTTACGTTACTGGACCCAGATGTTCCCCAAAGGCTTGGCCCTAGGAGCTGACAAAGGCTGAGGAATAAGGTTCTTATACCTGCTACCCTGATTAGGGCAGGAATCTGGGCTCCCAGATGTCCCTACAGTATTGTGTTTATATCAGACCACATACTTTGTGAGGGTCAAAACTTCTGCCCATTTTTTTCCCCACTGCTGTATGCCCACTAGGTACAACAATGCATAAGCATTTGATACATATTTGTTAAACAACACTCTCTTGTACATGAACCCTCATCTAGCTCAAAGGGAGCACACGTGACATGGAGTCACCAAAGCCTGGAACAACAACTGTCCCAACAGCACCACGGGTGAGCTATCACTGTCCCAGGGAGCTCCATTCTACTAACCCAAGTCTGGACTCTTGGCTGTTCCTGCTGAGAAGCCCTTTCATTATAGGAAGATCCCAGAAGTGAATTCAGCTATTCATTTAACAAATAAGAGACAAATTCCCTATTGTGAGCTAGAGCTGGAAGGGCTATGGAACTCTGGCTGATTTCCCAGCAGGAAGGGGAAAGTCAGTCCTGGTTGAAAAGGATAATACCTTGTGAGGCAGGACAGGTTTGAGACTGCGGCTGAAGTAGTTGAAGTTGTCCCCGTTCTTATGCACCTGGACGCGCTCACCATCATACTTGATCTCAGAGAACATGCCATTGGGACACTTCTTCATTGCATACTCGATGGACTTGCAGGCCTCAGCCTTAGGATAGGGAAAGCAAAGGCTAGAGTCTTTCAATGAGGGACTGCTCATCAGAACTCAGAAGTGGGTTAGTCAAGACAGGACTGGGTCCTGGGACTGACTGCCCACAGTCTATGCTCAGGGGAGGGGACTGAAGACATGACTAGAATGGAAAGGACCAGGCAACATATGTTAACTTTAAAAACATTGCTAGAGCTGGGGGCATAGCTCAAGTGGTACAGCACCTGACTAGCAATCATGAACCCCTAAATTCAAACACTAATACTGCCAAAACAAAACAAAGTTAAAATCACTGTCAGAATTGACATGGGAGTGTGTATTGAGGAAGATGAATTCTATTTGTTGTAGAACAAAAAAATTCCACTGAAATAGGATTTAATTTTCAACAATTTAGGCTCCTGCAGGACCTCTGGCTTCTTATTACATCAGTCATGTCAGCATACAGGTATATCAAAGTAAGAGTAAAGAAAGCAGGTGACAGTAAGGCTGCCAGGATGATCATAATTAGGGATCGCTAGGACAGGATATCCAGATACAGGTGTGCTTACTCACATACAAGTGGCAGCCTGACCCAAACAGTAAATACTACCGTGTTTTGTGTTCTTTCCACATCATATATATAATCTCATTTCACTTTTTTTTTTTGAGACAGGCTCTCACTATAGAACACAGGCTGGCCTCAAACTGATAATCATCCTATGTCAGACCCAAGTGTTAGGACTGCAGGTATGCACCACCTCACCTGGTTCTGTCATTTCATCTTTGATGTGATACCTTATATGACAAATATTATTTTTTCATTTTATGGATGAGAAGCCTAAGTTAAGCATTTACTTAGACTAACACAGCTAGTAAATAGCAGGAATAAGATTTGAATCTAGGTCTACGAGTCTGTGTTTCAAACCACTAAGATCTACAGCTCATGCCATTCTTCAAATGACAGCCTATAGAACATATTCCAGTAAGAATTCTTACAAAGTCAGAAGGCTACTTCTTCAGATACCTGGAGGAGGCCTGTACCTGAGATGGAAATCTCACCTCTCACTATTTTAGTGCTGGCTGTTCTAAATTCTTAGCTAGGAGAAAACATTTCCCTACTCCAAACACAGAATCCTAAACAAAGGCTTTAGTACAACATATAAAACAGTGTCAAAAAGCACTGTATACCACCAGAAAACCCGAAGGGTTTCACAGTAAGCATGTACAACAACAGCACATGCAGTGAGTTCTGTTGCACAAGAAAGCCAATAGCCAAATAGAAATCACCTTTCTCATGAAATGGGCAGAAGTCCAAGTTATCTGTCAGAATAACTTATTCCTTAAGCTTCCTTTCCCTTCCCAAGTCACCCTGTAACAGGAAATCTGATTCTGCCAACTCTGAGTTATCTTGCAGCAGGTCACAGAACTTTAGGGACTCCTGAACATTCCTGTCTTCAAGAAAGATGACAAACTGTTCTAGTAGATGTTTCAAAGAGTCTCATGTACCATCTCCACAAGGAAACTAAAGACAGAGAGGTGAAATAACTCATCTAAGATTCTACTGCTTTTTAGTGGCAGAGCTGAGGTTCAGGTCACTACACTGGATCTTCTTGTCTCTTCACTTCCCCATTGAGCAATGCTCCACTGCACCTCCAGTCTCCTTCCCCAAATTCCTCCTGTCTACCTGCAGCAGCTCTTGACATTCCCTATCAGATCTCACCCTGAGGGATGGGTAACTTGGATAGACATGGACTGCAGAGAGAGGGCAGGGCAGGGCAGTTAAGCTCACCAGCATGGGCTGCACAGGCGTCATCAGAGAGGCCTGGACGCTCAGAGCCCGTCTCTGGCCTGGCTCCTTCTCCACCTCCTGCTCATTTCGAAGGACCCGCTCCACCACATCTTGCAGGTTGCGTGATGCTTTGAAAGCTTCGTAGGCATTGGGGTCAAGGGCATCTAACCTGCCAAGGTGGACAGTAACAAAGAAACAAAACCTCTACATTTGGAATTACAGCTTTGGATTGTAGTATATCCTCACAGGAGAGATTTTCATCTTGTAGGGAAAGGGTCAGCAATGTTTGTTCAAGTGGTAGAGCTCTTGCCTGGCAATTGCCTGGCAAGTGTGAGGACCTGAGTTCAACCCCAAGTACTGTTAACTGTAGGGAAGCAGTTGTGTTCTATCATCTAGATTTTAACAGAAGAAAAAAAAACTCTTGGAAAATTCAGTCTTTTGAAACCTTGTGCCTATATGGATATGGCCTTAGCAGAGGAGGGGAATGGAATGGGCAAGAGACTCATCCTATACTTTCTGAACATATTCCACACTTCCAATTATAATAATTGTGAGAAAAGTACTGTTAACTCCACTTTCCATGTAAGAAAATGGAGGTGGAGACAGGAGTAGGGTCCAAGAGGAACTAACAAACAAGAATGAAGATTCAAATCCGTTATCAGGACTTGAAAGTCCTGATACCAGCCAGGAACAAAGGAAGCTGGTACTTACACATGTTTTGCACCAGAGTTCATCTTCAGATCATGTTTGATCAACCTGATGATGCACTTAAGATCATTGGCTGTACATCTATGAGGATGAAATGATCTTTTAAGAACTGTATTCTCACAAATCTTCCTTCCCAAGTGATTCTACTTCCCAAAAGCTGTCCCCATTGGGTGTGGCTTGATTGGGGCAGTTCCCCCACCTGGAGGCAATGTCCTGTAGGGCCTGCTGCTGCTCATCCTCCTTGGTGAGCTTGGAGAGCTGCAGGAGGAATTCATCCACTTCCTGGATGGTGAGGAGGCTCTTGGCAGCTGGGGGAAAAGACTTGCTCTGCTCAAAGAAGACTCTGATTGTCTCTGACACGTCACCCTGTCTCCAAAAACCAAAATGTCACTGCTGCAACCCCAAGGTGGTCAGGTGTATCCCCTAAGACATCAGGACTAAAGAGGAATCAAGAAATTTCAATCATAGCTCCTATCCCCAACTCAACTCTCTCTTTAGTGACTCTCATCCACAGTTCCTAGAAGAGGTCTGTCTATCCACATAGGATCTGTCACTTGCCTTAGCTGAGAAGAGACATAAGCACTAATCCAGGGCTGAGCCAATATGATTCCTGCTTAGGAACTTGAACTAAGAGAAAAATAGTCATCAGAAAATGAGGGTGCTTGGGTGGAAGCTTTCCATGGTGCCAAGGATGGAGTAGCAAACAAACCAAAGCTGAATGGTAAGCCCACATACAGGAGGAAAAAAGCAAGAAAAACAAAGTCTAGAATGGAGCCCCAGGACAGACAGAGAGAAGTCTTAAATCCTGACTTTTTTCTTTTTTTTTTTTGTTAAATCCTGACTTTTGAGATACAGCCTTTTGTGGCTCAGCAGTGGTATGGTTTTAGTCTTTGGCAACTTATGAAATTATCAGCAGTAGAGTCACATTCAACTCCCCCACTAACAGAACCTTGTTCAAGTAAGTTTCAGTTTCCTAAAACTGTATGTGCCAACCATAAAAAATTGGCTGCAGGTGCCTGGCTTGTCAGACCTCAACTGAAATACTGTTTCCCCTCCCTTCTTCTGACCTGCTCTAGGTCCCGTGCCATATCATCAGGATTGCAGTTAAAAATTCGGCTGAAAAGCTTCACAATCTGCTTATCATTCAAGTTGTAAACACTCTTAATGACACCAGGCAGCAGCAGCTTCACTGTTAGGTACACATCACCGTGGAAGCCATCTGGAGACAGAAGAAAGGAACCCTTCTTGAGAAATGGAGCTTAAACAAATAAATACATAAACTCAAGGAAGCATATACCAAAAGAGAGCTATCACTGCCTATGCTCCCACAGTACTATGTGCACACCACTATAGTAGCTGGTGGTTTATGTGTCCGTCTCACCTTGACCCCATGGATGAACTCTTTCTAAGCAGAAACATATCTTTAATGACAAGCTCATTTCAGATGCTCAGTGACAACTGGTTAGATGAATCTGGAAGAAACTGAGCTGGAAGATTCTATTCCAAGTTGTGCATATGATGCACAAAAACCTTATCATGTATGTTGGTAATTAATTTTTCTACTGTTCTGGCCTCCTAGGGCCAAAATCAGGGCAGAGGGAGAAAGATGACAAAGCACTCTGAAAAGAATTGGCTACATTATTTGTGGGGTTTAGTGACAAATCCAACTGTGGGGCCCCTTGTTAAAAATTATTAAGAATTCAAGACAGCAATAGCAGAGCATGAAAGCAAGTATAGGACCCTGTGCAACTGCAAAATTTATATGCCCATGAAGCCAGCTGTGGCCCCGAGCTCTTCTGAAGAAAAACCCATCTAGGATGTTCCCAGCCCACCTCCTGTTGAGCCTTTCTGCAAGAAGTCCTGGATGATCTGGGTCTTTGTGTTGTAGCTAGGATTATCAGCCACCATGGCACACAACTTCCGAAACTCCCGAAGCAGACAATCCTTGTGCTTGGGATCACATTTACTTGAGGACAGACTTGTTTTACGAGTAGGGCTTGAGGGGGCTTGCTCAGAGTTGTTGGGCTTGGCTGTTGGAGAGAAACAATAGAAGATTCACTTTGTTTTTCTGGGAAGGAAGAAAACTAATGGGCATTCTGCTCATATTTTACACATAGTTTCACTTACTCACCCCAAGGAGCCCCTGGGGAAGGTATAATTGTATTCACGTTAAGGTAAAGAAATAGAGGTCATTGGGCTGGGGTGTAACTCAAGTGGTGGAGCACCTGCCTAGCAAGTGTGAGGCCATAAATCCAAACCCCAGTACCACCAAAAAAATCAAAGAAATGGAGGTCATTTCTCCAAATCTCATAGCCTCAAGACCAGACTGAAGTACATCTGCTTACGTGAGTATTCATATAGAAACAAAGGCTGCCTTCATGCCAAGAGTGGTCAGGAGGATCTCAGAGCAATTGTAAAGCTGACCCCAAAAAAGCTGGGATAAGAAAAGAGGAAGAAATCAAAGGACATATTTGTCAATGTGAAATTACTGCTATTACAGATTGTCAGAAATGGCATATGCCTTGAAGACCCAATTCAGTGTCCTCTTACTGATAGGGAGACCTACTTCCTTGGTGGCAGAACCAGGATAAGGATTCCAGAAAAAAGTCAGGTCCCACTGGTACACTCCCAATATTCTCTCCCCTCACCACTCCAACCTATTTTTTCTTTCTTTTTTTTTTGTT